CCGTGTGTTGCCGCTGCTTCCTCGCGCGAGATTTTCGACGGACAAACGTCCCGCCAACGACCTTGGGGGTGATTTCCTACTGGGTTGTGATTCGTCACTCGCGCTGGGAGCCGCCTCCAATCAAATCAGGGAGACTGGTTTCGGGTTCTGGAACAGGTGGGGGGGTTTGGGGGTTCGGAGATTGGGGGTTGGGGGGGGGGGGGGTTTGGGGTTTGGAGGTTTGGGGGTTTGGGGTTTGGGGGTTTGGGGGTTTGGGGGTTTGGGGGTTTGGGGGTTTGGGGGTTTGGGGGTTTGGGGGTTTGGGGGTTTGGGGGGGGGTTTGGGGGTTTGGGGGTTTGGGGGTTTGGGGGTTTTGGGGGTTTGGGGGTTTGGGGGTTTGGGGGTTTGGGGGTTTGGGGGTTTGGGGGTTTGGGGGTTTGGGGGTTTGGGGGTTTGGGGGTTTGGGGGTTTGGGGAATTGGCGGAAAGAGGAACCTAAAGGAACAAGTCAGTTTAGGGATCTATTTTGAGAACCCACATGGCACATGGTAAAGAGGGCTGCTTTTTGGACAGTACTTGTTCTTTGCTTCTGCTGGACATCTTCTTTTCATTGTTTGGGTTAAAAAACAAAACGAGGCCCGTGCCTCCAAAGGGCGGGTCACCACGGCCACCAGTTGCTCGTTTGTGTTAAACTTGCGGATTCTTCTAGGGGTTGGTCCGATTCCATCCTTTTCGATCGTTCTTTTCGACCGGATCCGTTTTCATTGGGTTTCCGGAGCTTTTCCAGAAGGATCGCTGGAAAGAATGGGGAAGGTCCCCATAGAATTCCTGCTCCGCTCGTCCACCAGGGTTCCCTGAACATACTCCAGCCGAAAGGGGGCCCATGTTGCTCACGCGGAAACCCACCAGCCGAATGTTTTGTGTTTTTGTTTTTCCGCTCGGCGGCTTGGGATTTGAGCCCCTCCGATTGAAACCATGGGGAAGGTGCCGGAAGTCCCAAAATCCGTGCCACGACCTGGGAAACCCACCGGGTCTCCGGTGGATGGTGTAGGCTCTTCAATTCGAAACCCCTGTGCTGCGGCGGATTTCCCGCGCCCCTTCTACCGATCCAGACAGGGGAGTTGCGACCATGACGCAACTAGATCTTGTCTTCAAGTAGGGAAAGGCGAAGGTCCCTTTTGCTACCCTTAGCTTTAACCAACCCCGCAAAACTCCCTCAGCATTTGTTCCCAACCCAAAACTACTTTCTTCGATTCTGACCCATTGTTGCTTGTTTTTGTGGGAACAAATCCCGTTTGGAGGGCCCAAGACAAGCTGTGGGGAACGCCAAACACGCCTGAGAGCTTCGTCCTATGCAGCTCCAGTTGCGGGGCGCTCTGGCAAATGTAGCCGCAGACCTCGACTCGAAGCTTGCGGAGGAGCTCTCTCTGGTCCCCTGCTAAGAGTGAGCCTAACTTGTGGGTTCAATGGAAACTATAGAACCACAAGGAAACCAACTAACTAACTAACCCGCAAGTCTACCCAACAAGGAAACCAATAACTAAATAACTATAAAACCAGTCTAAACCAACAAAACAGCTAAACAGAGAAGGAACCGAATGGCTGGAAACCACTGAGGTTAGGAAGTTATCGGTTTCTGACTCGCTGGATCGATCCTCCAGATTCGTCCGAAGCTAACATTCCATACTGCTTATGGACAGCTTTCACATCAGGCAAGCTGAAATCGGTGACTCAACCAGTATTCAAATGTGGCTTCATCCATCGCAACTGGCGCGAAGTGGAAATTCTACATCCCACAGTAGCCTTCAGCTGCTTCTCAAAATGGGCAACCCCTTTCATTTGGCTGGTTTTCAAAGGAAACAAACCATTTATGCAGCTCCGTCTTTTTGAGAAGCGCCCATTTTGAGCCACGGTCAAAGCTCCCCAACTGCGGGTCATGGTCATGGTCCCCTGCAAATCGGAATCCTGCTGGTTGCTTGAACTGGCCGTTACCAGATTCACCAGCCTGCAGTCATCAAGATACAAAAGTTCCATAGGGCTGAAGCGATTCCTATCTGCCTGCAAGCTACGCCCAAGTACCCAACGGAAACGAGTGCCAAATGCCCCCCCCCCCTCCCCCGGCATCCGGCATGGCGCCTTGCACGTGTGCGGCGACTTCATCCTGCAGCGGTCGAGTTGTCGGGTTGAGTCTGGGCAAATTGCTTTACACCAGGGCGAATGTGTGGGGGTGGATGGCACAGACACGGAAAAGTTGCATCTACGTGCTTTACTCCTGTACATGATTCTGGAAAATACGTTCATGTTTATGTGGAAGAAGGTCATCTCCGAAAATCGGGATCCAGGGAGGAGTAACCACATTGTGTGACATCCAACGGGCCGTACCTACAATGATTCTGTGATTTTACAGGAAATCCCCGGTGTATCGCAACAAATGGGGGTCAAAAACTGAGCTGCATTCAGAAGGGGAGAATCGAAATGAGCCATGAAAACCTTGAAGGGTATGTCGACAAGTATGGACCCCCTCCAATCAGGGCTCTCGAAGACAAAACAAGGAAGGGATTCTGTCAGGACGAACAAATTCCAGCTGGGCCTTCCCACAAAACAAATCACGGAATCCTTCGGAAAATCGCCCAAAGCTGGCAAAGGGTCTCACTTCCGATCAAGTGGATGGCCAACGCAAAGAATCCAGTTTCTTTGCCACTAAGATGATCTTCCCAAGACGCAGCAGAAGTCCAGCAAATGGCAACCTCAGAGACGTGTTTTCTGTTTTGCCCCAGCGACCAAACCAACACCCCCCCCCCCGTTTCGTCCCCAACAATCCGACCAAGCACCATGGTTTTTTGTCTCCTGTGCCAGGGCACGTCCACTGCGGCATCCAGAAGATAGATCAGCTCCAGGTCTGCCTGCGAGAACACCGGTAGGAATGACTGCAAGCAAAGCAGAAACACCACCAAAACAACACAAAGCAAAAAGCAAGAGGACCAAACAAGACGGGGTCAGAGATGCAAAAAGAAACAGAAGAAAAGAAGAAGAAAAGAAAAACTACTCTTTGTGCAATAAAACTCTTGTACCCAGCGACCAGAGCGGGTACAAAGCTTTAGTTGCATGATTGATTTGAGACGCTTCACCTTGCCCCGAAAGGAACTCAAGAAGCGTTTGGTCTCAAAACGGGAATCCGGGGAACCCGCAATGGGCGGCTTTCCGTGTGGTGTCCCTTTAAACCAACCCCAAGGGTACCGAGGCTCCAAAAACGACACACCCGAGCCATCACGAGGAATCTGCTTGCGCCATTGTTGTTTGGGGGAAGTTTACAAAGTAAATCGTACGAATCGTAGTTGGATTCGGTGTGTTCGGGGCTACCTTCCCCATGTGCCAAAAAAGAACCGGGGAACCAATCCCAACCACAGAATGTTCTGGGCTACCACGTGGAATGACAACTAGTCGCACGAACTCTAACCCGAAAGGTTGCAACATAGACTAGTGTCTGCCACGCGCAGCGCCTGATCGATTGGCGAAAAGGAACAAACGACACCTGAAAACCAATTGGCAAAATAAGAAACATTGGGTGCTGAAAAAACTGCAAATCCTTCCCCCACCTCACCCCACCAACACGCGGCACCGGCGAATCCGTCGCATTCCGCTTTTGAGTCTCAGTCAGGCAGCAGTTCCAGTGGCCAAGTGCGAACCAATTGTGGGCTGTACACACACAGGCCACAGACAGTCCGGGAGCTCTCTAGAGGCCGTTCCCCAAACCGGCGCACCCTACTTAAATGTCTTTGAAACCCCTTTTTTGTGTGTGCTTGCGGGTGGTTTTTTGTTGGAGGTGGTCCTAAACTATCTCAAAGGCCCCATAAATGACCCTCGATTGACACGCTGGATCCTTTGAGGCTTGAAAGGAAAACCGATGAAACCACCCATTTTTCCTCCCCGCATTCTGTGACAGACCGACTCACAGGTTTGGCTTCAACCAAATCTTCCATTGGTTGATGTTGCCTTTGAACCACGCCTGCACATGGTGCAAAAAACAAAGTTGGTCCAAAGTGGGTGTCTGAGCGCATGCTTTTTGGGATTTGTGCACAGGGAAACCAAGGGGAACCCCCGACAAAAAAGAAGGGGTCCAAATCCCTATTTGGAGTGCACCTTCGGGGGGGCCTTGCAAAAGCTCTGCACAACCCCGAGGATGCGCATGGAAATCAAGGCACTTCTATTTCGCTGTGGTCAAAACTTCAGCGGCTGGCCCACATCTGAAATACCCGAAAAATTGGCCTAATCCTGCTTCATATTTTTCTTATCTTGCGGTATGCAATAGCTTTGAAGGCAACCACAGAGTAGTGGGTTCCACAACTGAGTGGTGTGTGTGTGTGTGTGTCGGTTCTTCAGTTCGCATTGTTGGCGCGCATTTCACATTCACCAAATTCCCGAGAGCGGTTGTTGCCGGCTTGTCTGGCAAAGAGCTTGGGGTTGACGGTGAGTTTGGATTGATCTAGTGGAATTTGTCAGAACCAGTTTGATTCTGGCAACAATACTTTGTGAAACTTGCAAACTTGAGTATCAAAGCCAGTCCAGAAAGGGTGTCCGTTGGTTTTTAAGAGCAGGAAGCCTTGTCCAAGTCTGAAATTTATTCACATAGTTAGATTTGGGCAACCCAAATTGGACATAAACCTTAATAAGTGTAGACTGACGTTATTAATTGCACCTCCAGCCGACATGGTCTGGCAAAACATTGGCGAACCAGATTGGCCTCCGGCGCCGTGACCTGTGGACAAAATTCCTCAAGGGGACTCTAACGGGCCAAAACAAAGGAATGCCTAGAGTCCATGACCCTTTAAAAATGGGGTCATGGCCCCTTTTTTGGGTAATGACCCCATTTTTAAGGGTCAGGTGGAGTGTTTCAAAGCCAAACTAAGTCATGATTCATAGGAAAACATGTGCATATGCATTCAGACCGCCACACCCTCCACCCACCCACCCACCCAAATTCAGGTGTCGTTGGACTTCTCCTTCCAAAGGTTACGATTTCAGGGATTCCAGTAAAACCGCAAAAGTTGGAAATTGAGGACATCCGCCAGCTCCTTTTGACCACAGCCTTGTCCAACGCCTAGCCTAGCGCGGGTGGTACACCTTCCTGCCGGTGCCGGAGAAATGGAACTCGCCGCCCCTGGGGCCCCGAAAGACTTCGCGCCCGTTCGCGCAGCCAGAGGAGGAGTGCAGCCCAATGAAGCCAGCGGACGAGGACCTGACAGGGACCCTTCTTGGACTCAATCCCAACTAAAAGGTTTCTTCAATGACCTTCTGTTGGCAATTTAGTTGAACATTTACAACCAAGCCCCTCAAAGGGCACCATGCCACGCACATGTTGGCTTAACAGCCCATTGCCTGGACATGGACGAGGCCGGCGACGGTCCGAAGCCACCGCCGAAGCCACCTCCGAAGCCACCGCCAAAGCCACCGCCAAAGCCACCGCCAAAGCCACCGCCAAAGCCGCCATGGCTTGAAGACCCAAAGGGGTCGAAGCCCATTCCTCGGCACGGGTATTTCAAGGAAGCAGCGCATGGGTTTTCCCCAGCGTCGACAGCCATGGGGTCAATCGGTCAATCCGCTCTTTGTTCGGGGTGGGAGGGGGTTCCGGGCAGGTTGCGGGGCTGGTTGGGGTCAATTGCCGCTCAGCGCCAAGCTTCCGGGGCTGGCCAAATGGCTCGGCGTGTAGGCAGGGCTCGCCGCGCGGCGGGGAGGGCTCGGCGCGCGGCGGGGAGGGCTCGGCGCGCGGCGGGGAGGGCTCGGCGCGCGGCGGAGGTGATATGCGCCGGCGCCTGGTGGGTGGTAGATGCAACCGCCGGGGGCCTTTCACTCCAAGGACCCTGAAAATACGAGGGCAACTGATCTGAAAATAAACGGTCAGAGTAGGTTGCAGGCCCATCATGTTTTGGAGCCTTGACGAAGACTATGCGCAAAATGTCTCAACAATCCCACTCAGTGTAGTCCACTTTGGTCCATTCGCGCGCCTTTATACAGCCCACTCCCCACCGCCGAGGTCGGGTTTTGCGGTGGGATGAAGGCGCTTGGAGGTCGCGCGCGTCCTGGCAAAGGGCCAAGGTGAAACCTTGGATCCTTGCCCCATTTCAACGAGGGGGCCTGGCCCAAATCCATCCTTCCAACTGTTCGTTTTTGCTGGACGGCCACACTGCCATTGCCGTAAGTCCCTCGAGTTGTCCAAAAAATGCCCTTCAAGTGTGTATAAAACAGGGTGTCAAGCTCCCCCCTTCGTGGAGGCCAGCCCCCTGAGTAACCGAGAACCCTCGAATCAGGGGTCTTTTGGGCAAAAGAAAAGAAGACAAAAAACTGGGGCTTGCCAAGGTGAAGTCCTCTCGCCCGGTGTTTTTCGGCCCAGAAGGCCAGAATGATCCTGTTAGTTCCATTGGCTAGGCACCGAGGAGCGAAGGAATTGGCTCCAGATCAGTCAGCGGGGTCCTCCAAAGTGTCCAAACCTGGTTGACCTGAAGAGGAGCAGGGCAAAGCCTGCTTTACGAATCAGGATGAACAGTTGGCGACCGGCCCAAGGCTTGAAGTGACCTGCCCCCGAACAAGGCCTCTGTGACCAAGAGAAACCAATGGGAAGGCGTCCATCGACCCTCGGGCTACCAGCTCAGAGCAACTCCTGAGTGGATTTGCCACAACAGCGCATACCCGTAGAAATTATCTTTTCGCAGCCTCAAACCAGGAAACCCTTGCGAATCCCAATATTTACTGGATTTAATTCGTCCCCACTCATGCGAAGCGAATTTGTTCGGAACCAATCACTTTGCAGTGGCTACCTTGGCTCAATGGTTTGGGGGCAGTGGACACCACCTTCTCCACAATCTGCCACCAAGGGCATACATCAGGGTGAGTTTCTTTAACCCAATCGGCGGGTGAGCTCGCTGACCATACGCAGGACACCCTCGCGACCCGGCCCTCCTGCATTCTCCGCCGGCGCTCGCCGGCTTTCGTCTTGGGTGTTTCTCGCCTCGCGGATGGCTGCCTTGCTGTGAGCATCATGGTAGCACCTGCCATTTCGTCAGGGCGGCTACGAAATATGAACTAGTGTCCTTAAAACCAACCCACACGGCCCTGAACAAACAACAGCCAATATGGCTATGAGGCTATAAGTTTCAATTATATGGGTTCTGAAGTTTGATTCCGGACACCCCTTGGCTGGTTTCACTTTTGGCAAACCATGCCGCATTCCGGGGAATCTTGACACAAAGCCAGAAAAATGCACCTGCAGTCAGCTTGCGCCACGGGGCCACGGAGTAATTTTTCGCGTTCGCGCCTTCCCCCGGGTATAGAACAGGTTCAACTAGGCGACTCGCCCGCTTTTTTTGGCTTTCCAATGTCGGCTTCGCCGCGTGGTTCCATCTTGGTGTCCCTTTGAAACAAAGCTGCAAAGGGTAAGCCTCAAAAAAGAAGCACCACTCCCAGTAGCCGCTCAAGATTTCTTGCCTCATGTCGCGCTGGGCCACGAAGTCGCGGCCCGGTTCGCTCTGCTTGGCGATGACCTGCAGTAGGTGGCCCCGCGCCTCCGCGGACATCCGGCCCTCCTGGGATCTCGGATGGGTCGAGCTGGGTGTGAACACCCACGACCCCTGAAGCAACCGCCATTGCGTATCTCCTTGGGTCGGTTGGGTCGGTTGGGTCGGTTGGGTCGGTTGGGTCGGTTGGGTCGGTTGGGTCGGTTGGGTCGGTAGGTTGGTTGGGTTCAAAGCAGGCTGAGGAATTCAAAAAAAATGCGCCACCGACCCTGCCTCCACAATCCTGTAGAGCGCCTGGTTCATGCCTTGCCGCGAAACATCTCGCAGGAACAAGGCAGGGACACACTCTTCTTTGGGGTTCCAAACTAATTGTCGGAAAGTTGAGAAAAAACTCCAAAAACAAGTCCACTCTTGAGCCCCGTTTTTGCTTCACCACTTTTGGCATGCCCCCAACATTGAGGGCCATGCAAAGCAGAAAGGCGCACCGTGTCACCATAGACAAAGAACCTTTTTGGGGGTGATTTTGCAGTGGTGTGTCCTCAAACAACAAAGGTGTTGTTCTGCCGAGCCTGCAAAAGAACAACCGCTGACACCAGGCGGAAAGGAGCTGTTTCTCATAAGCATTCACACCTGCCATCGAGCGATGTCTTAGTCATATCCCAGTTGCGTTGTTCCAAGCCTGAGCTCATCCTGTCCAGCCTTGCCGAGCCAGTCCGGTACAGACCCGCATCCCGCTCGTCGCGCGAATGATGCTCGTTGCGCCCTGCCTGCGAGTCAAATCTGAATATCTGTTTTTGCGTGGGGTGTCTTTTTCAAGCGCACCCTTTGTCGGTTGGTGTGAAGGGAACCACAAGGCTGCGATGTAGGCCAAATCCATATGAATATGGGTGTGGGTCAAAAATAAGTACCCAAAATGTAACCCTGGTAAATGGAAACAAGGAATCAAACCTGCGGTCGCCTGGTGGTACAATGCTAACCCGTACACATATACTTATATTTTATATTTAGTGCGCCAGACGGATCCGAGCCCCGGCAAGCAGTTGATCGTTCGCAGGAAAACCCAAAAGCCAAAGAGCTCAAACTGCCAGCATGCGGGTCATTCCCGTCATGGGAACGGAACCCTTTACGTTGGTTGTCTAAACTCCCTATCAAGCGGTTGACGACAAACCCTACCAGCACCCATATGGCTGTAGGTCAAAACCAATGCTACCATTTCGGGGTAGGTGCACCACCATTTTAGTCTATTTTAGTGGGAATTGGGATGTACACTTGGGGTACGGGATTGTGACCCACGGCCATATGCAAACATCCATTACTGCATACACATGAACCTGCAAACGTGTCTTGTTTGAGGGTTTGAAGGTGCCCGGGTCTGAGCTGACTTCGACGACCAAGATGTGCCTTCGCGGCGGGGACCAGTCCAGAAGCGTTGCTGGCTTTGGGTGCCTCAGCCCTCTCCGGCTTTGGGCGCCGACTAATTTGTAGAGCGCCCGACCCCCGCCCGGCGCCTTCCGGCTTTTGATTCTACGCTGCGGTAGCTATATGTAGGCACATTTGTTTCAATTCACCAATGGACACACTTTTGGGGGTTGCTCAATATTCCTGCCCCCCAAATGTCCATGGCATGGGTAACTTTTCCCATGTAGTGGTTGAAATATCATCTTCTTACTGGTCTCCCTGAATGGTCCTTTCTTCTTCCCTCGGCGGAGCTCCCAAGGCCCCCTTTTTTGGGGCATCGGCATCGGGAACTGCGCCCGGGTCCTGCGCCCGGATGTTGTCCTTGGAATAACCGAAGCGCAACAGCTCGTCCTCCCGGGGACTTTTTGTGAAAACGTCGCCCTGTTTTTTTTTTTCTGTGACCCCCCAAAAAAAGAGAAGAACAAGAAGAGGAGACAGGTCATGATCTCCAAAAGACGGCAAAGAGGGAAGGTTGGCACGGCCCATTCTGGCCAAAGGGGGGAAAAAGAAGGGGGCCGCCCCGGTTTGGTCCTTGAGCGCCGGATCATCGGTCTGCTGAAAGGCCTCGTACCTGAGATCGAGGTCAAGAAGCGCCACCAGGAGAAACGAAATCCATTTCGCACGGTTCAGACAATTCAAACGAATCATGGACGACCCCGTAAACTAACAAACCCGGTCTTTTTACGGCTTCCAAGTGGTGCAAGATTCTGTCCATCCACAGTAGGAAGGTAGCAAAAGGAAAAGGGAAAAGAAGAGAAGCAACATCAGGAAGGCACCTACCAACTGGCGCGGGATTCTGTCCATCCAAAGTATGTTTGAAGTAGCGGTTGTTGACGCAATATTGTCTGAACTTGGCCCAGATTATGAAACCACAGAAAAAAGGACGTAGGAGGGCCCCTTCCCCAGTGCCATGAAACACTTGGCAACTTGCAGCACACACACTCACACCCCACAACCCCTCAAAGAAATCTCCTTCGAGGCGGTCAACTTAAGCGGAATCCAACATCGAACTCCTAGTTGATGAGAGAAATGATCCGGCGATCCTTCACTTGGAAAGGAACCCAAGAGGAGGGGACACCGATGCCCAAAACGCCTCCGCCCCCAGCCAGGTTGCAGCAAAGAATTCGGGATGCGGTGGCATTCCTCAGGGAGGATTGCCTTGAACATGTCTAAACGACCATGCCTTGAACAACCACTGCTGGAACAACCAGTTTAACCAGCACCTCAAAGCAAACTCAGTTTTTGGGCCAAGACCCTTCAAGGGGGACCAAGAAACTGGGTCCTTCGACTATGAGGGCTTGAATAGTTGGAATCGGGTTGTGGCTGCCAAGCTAAGGAATGTGTTCAAGATAATCATGTGTTAGCCCCTTACAGTGCCATGAAAGTAAGTGCACTCCAAATTGTGTATTTGTTTCTTGCAAGCCACTGTGACCCAAGAGTTGCTTTTTGAGCATGGCTTTCGCTCCCAACTCCTGCTGATCATCAAAGTCGCAGCCTGGATGGCGATTTGGATGCTGCCTCTTAGAGGCCACCCTGAAGTCTGTGGCGCTGCGAATCCTCGATGCTGGAGATCGAGATCCACCCACTGGAATTGAGAAATCCCCCATGAGCGTGTTCGAATTTCTGAAATGCTTCCTGAGAAAGGAATCATAGTCAAAACCATGGTATCGATGGGGTCCACCCACAAACACCAAGTCAAGAGTTGAAGGGGTGGCTGCACCTGTTTGTGGCGGAGCTGTCTTACAGCACCCCACGCAGTCTCATTTCAGGATGCTCCTCCTTCCCGACGCCGAACTGTCTGTCGCTTGGACCAACCAGGCATAGGGGTCCAAACCAAAAAGGGGCGACTGCTGGCAATCGGGATGCGAAACTCAAGCCATGACAAAAAGTCTGACTTCGTCGAAGAATAGCCCCAACACTTTCAACCTGCAAGCAAGCTTCCTTGAATTCCTTTTTGGAAATCCAAGCGTGGGTCCATCTCCAATTTTGGTTGACAAGCAGTTGAGTCACAATCCAGGCTTGGTATGATACGAGCTATCCAATGGCATTTGAAGAATCAAAATGGCGGCAGCATCTACTTCATAGCTGAGCTATACCCTTGTAGGTGTTCATTACAGCGCCCAAAACTATCCAGAAAACAACAAAAATGGTGGGATGTACTCGAACCTTAAAGTCAGACCCGCATTATTATTTTTGGTGCGTTTTGCCCTGGATCGGTGAAGCAGTTCCTTTTTGTGCACACATCCAACTCCCATCCTCACCAGCTCGTCTGTCAGCGACCCTGCGCGGCTTGTTCGCCCAAAGCAAAGGGGGCCTACTGGGGATGCACGAAATCAATTTTGCGCCACTTTGAAACCATGAGAAACCATTTTTGGTGGTATTTACAGAGAAATCATCATTCTAGGGTTTCTCAGGTGCAGGATTTCGTCCATCCGCCGTATGAACGTCCAAATGTTTCACTTGAGGGACCCGGATTTCGCAACGGGACGATGTAAAGCCCACAAATGACCCGCACTCCTTCACTCTTTAAATAGTTGGATGCATTGTTTACTTCCAACATTTCGAGATTGGCCCATGCTTCCCTCACCGGTCCAATCCGTAAAAACCCTCGGGGGGTCAAGATCAGCAACCAAACTCAAGCGCATGTCTTGTGTTGGAACTAACAGGGTTCTTCCCCTTTAAACATCCCCCCACCCAACAGAAACTCAACTCCAATGGGATACAAATTTGTAGGAGGCCCCATGTCATGTCCATTTGCTGATCCTGCTCAGGCCATGCCCCCTGCATGACTTCCAGAACCGAGAAGATGAATGGGAGAAGGCCCCTGTATCGAAAATCCCTACCATCAATTGTCCCTGCCATCAATTCATTTGAGGTGGGCACATGAGACAAATCCATGTCCAGCCTGAGAATCAAACCAAGTGCTCTAGTCAACCCATGGCCAACGAGGAGCGCCCATTGCCAGGTCTTTCGCCTACCCTTCCGCCCGGGTTTTGGATCGGATTGTGACTCGCCTGTCGCTCGGGGAGACGGTGGCGGTGGGCCTTTTTCGTGTGCACCCTGTGCCGTGTGAGCATCTTCGCCCAAAGCCTGCAGTACAGCTGCCCTGTCCTCCTCGGCCAAGCCGGTCCTGAAGTCTCGCGCCGCGCAAAAGCTGTTGCCGTTTGTGGTTCAGTGGAGAAACCTTCATCTGAGCAGCTGGCAAAATTACCACAATAGGCCAAGAGGGGACCCAAAACCGGTACCTATCAACTTGAGATTGTGCTCATTTGATCCAACATGTTCCGAAAAGGTCAGAGGGTCGTTTCGGTCAGCCAATGCACAGCCAAGAATACTTCCGTTCGTCTGTGACAGGATGCTCGATGGGCTAAGGTTCTTTTGCGGTTTTCTTGCTTTGCCAATGGCAAAGAGCCAGCCAAGTTTCCACCCATGATCCAGGGCTTCTGGTGCGGGAGCTGGCCGGGAGGGAGCTGGCCAGGAGGGAGCTGGGGCTTCTCGGATCGCATCATCTGCCAAGGCCTGCAGCACAGCCGCCCTGTCCTCAAGGCAGCTCAAAAACCAATTCGAGGTAAGCTGACCGTTTGTCCCCAACTGAACGCACCGCAACTCCTGCGTGGCCTACCAATGGCAGTTGGCCTACCAATGGCATTGGCCTGCAGCAACCGCGGACCCCCCCAAACCAAGGCTTACATGGTAGCTCACGGCCTGGACATCATACCCCTTCGCTCCATGTCACACACAACTCCCATTCCCCAGAAAGACCGGCCGTCGGTTGTACTTTCCCCGAGTGCTATGTTTTCTTTTTTTTACCCGGGGCACCGCTTACATGGCAGCTTCTGTGTAACCCCGGAGGCGACACTAACATGATGTAGGATATATTTTTTTACTGGGGCCGACTATGATTGTTGGAGAAAGAGTAGCCCCTGAACCACACTGTTTAACTGGGGAATCAAGTCCCTCGCGTGGGGGTTGCTTAAAATAAAGGTGCCTGGAAACTTTCGCCGGCCTTTCGCCTTCCTTTGCGGCCCTGCTCGTTGTCAAGCAATTGTTTTCTACAAGCAAAACTAGGAAACCATTCACACAGTTTCCTCCCCACAAGTTTGGTCATCGGGAGCAGCCCTGGTCCTCCTCGGACATGCCATCCCAGGCGTCTGCCTGCACCCAATCCGGGCGAGGCATCGCAGGCACACGAGAGGCTGGGGTAGGAGGTGGCATCGGAGGGGGCGTCGGAAGCTCATCCTCCTCCAAGATGCGGAGCACTGCTGCCCGGTCCTGGAAACTGAGGTGTTCCAACTGCTCCGCGACACCGGCCAGCATGATGACAAAGGCCGAGAAAAGCTCAAACCCGAACCCTCCCAAAAACAAAACACAGCTGAGCCGAAACAAGCCGGAGCCAAACTCAAGACCAATTCGTCTCCAGGCCAGGTCTTTTTTCATGCGTTCCCCTCGTCCAGTCCGCTTCCTGTTCTGGAGGCTGTGTACCCAGACTGTAACTATTACCCAAACGAGTCATGGTAACAGTTTGTGGAAATCAATCAACAGATGTCCGCAAGATGCCCCCTGTGCAACGGCAGACGTCGAACTGTAGATTTGAAGATGCAGATGTACGACTCTTGCAAAAAGGGGAGACTCAGCTGAAGGTCTTGAACAGGGGACCCCTGAACGCTCCAAACACAAATTGAAAGCCAGGTCCACGAAACGGAAAACTTTGGTTCCCAGGAAACGATCCGGCACTAGGTATTATAATTCCCAAACCGGACACGAAAACCGGACACGAAAGCCCCCAGCAAAGAGCCTGCATCGCGGCTCGGGCAAAACGAATGCCCAGCAGATGTTCGGGAGAAAAGAAACGGTAAAAGTTCACACAAAGCAAGGGGCTCCCCATACACGTCACCCCGCGCAGAGCTCCTTGGTTGGCAAGCAAGCGAGCTACGCCCGCAAAGCAGTCAGCCCAAAGCGGGGCAACGGCAAAGCAAGGGGAAGGAACAAATCGCCGCGTCTTCTCTCTCCCAAAAATACAGACCAATCGGCCCCAGAGTGTTTCTCAAAATAGAGCCCCAAAAACTGGGGCTTCTTTGTGGTTCCCTTTTTGATTGCGACCCCCAAATAAATAAAAAATATCCGTCGCCTCATGGGGCTTCGAGGTGTATCCTACGTCCTTGTCGCAGGAGGGGCAGGCCTCGCTCGCCCGGCTGCGACTCATATGCACCCCGAGTGGCTCCAAGCAAAAGAAACCCGTAGGACCCTTCGGTGGACTTTGGGTCCGGAATATGTCCAACGATTTTGGAGGCAATCCCCCTATTGCAATGCATGGCCATATTTACCGAGCTCCTTCTGCCATGGTCATGGGTCCCTGCACGAGCAAACGAGCTGAAGAGCTATCAAGCTAACTGGCTGTTAGCTCAACTAACCAGCCAGGTCTCGAACTAGCTACCTACCAAAGCGTCAAAATAGCTAACAGCAAACGAGCTAGCTAGCTAGCTAGCTAACTATCTGACTAGCTGGCTAACTTAACCAGCTAGCTAAACTAGCTGGCTAGCTCCAGTATCTGACTTCCTAGGGAACTAAACTGGCTAACTACCAAACTAAGCTAATCAGCTAACCAGCTAACTAACTAATAGCCAGTTCTTGTTCTCATGCTCCCTTTTCTCTCTCTTTCTCTCTCTCTCTCTCTCTCTCTCTCTCTCTCTCTCTCTCCCCCCCCTCAGCTTTTTCGTGTTTACCCCAGAGCCCCTTCAAAGGCTGCAGCCATGAACCTCGATCAAGCCCCAGCATGCGCTTTGGGTCTCTAACCCCTGAACATTTCTTACTGGCCGGGTGCTTGTCATATCTGTCTTTTTCGCGGCGTCCTTTTTGGGGTTGATGCAGAGGGAACGAAAAAGAAAGTCACCATCTTGGAGGTCCCCCCCATACCCTACCCCAAAAAAACGAGGGAACCGTTGGGGCCTTGTGCCATACCTGCGCGCCCTCGCTCTCCCTGTTAAATATTACGGGCGCAAACATGCTGAAGAAAAAGAAGTTGAATGGACAAAATCCCGGGGGTCATTCTACATCCTTCTTTGACTTTGTGATTTAAGTGGTGCAAAAGTTTGCTCATCCACAGTAGAATCTTTCAATGGAGGATCCATGTTGACACACGCTACCGCTAACATACCCTTGAGTGCGTTTGAGCCCTCTCTGAGGCTTGCTGCTTCTCATACTGTGGATGGACGAAATCCATTCGCACCACCGTTCAGAAACCCCGCCATGCCGATTCTCGCGTAAATACCAACGAACGTTTTGCTTTCAATCATGGTGTCATTCCGCAGTGCGACATGGATTTGGTCCGTCCGCCGCATCCTCCCAAGTATTAGGACAGGGATTGACGAGCTGCCTCTCAACCCAAGGGCCTTATCTGACCCGTGAGTCCGAATGGAATATCCGGCATCGGCGCTGGTGAGATGGAACGAATCCCAAACTTTGGCTTCAGGTTTTGGGCTTGGGAAAAGGGTAGCCGGTTGTTTCCGAACTGTCTTCCTAGACCCAAAACTGATCAGCTTCCATTGGAAAGAGGAACGGCCAAAACCTTTGGTGCAAACGCGACAGATTCACTCACTCGGCGCCCAGGCATGGACGTACCTGGGGCGCTCTAGTTTTTTTGAGCATGCCGAAAGAAGGACTACCTCGAATTGGAGTTCAGATCCCGCTAGAAGTTTAACCTTTTAGTGGGTTAATGGAAACCCCTAAACCCTAAAAGCCGAAAAAGCGAAGGAACCGGATGGAAAGGAATGGCTCACCAAACAAAAACCAGAAAAAGGTTGGTTGGGTCCACCTTTTCGCAAAAAGGGGACATGTCACAGCCATTGGAGGTTCATGTTGCGTTCATTTTGATTTCAAGACCCACAGGGAGATACACCCGCTTTGACACACACACACACACACACACACACACACACACACAGAGAGAGAGAGACAGACAGACAGACAGACAGACAGACAGACAGACAGACAGACAGACAGACAGACAGACAGACAGACAGACAGACAGACAGACAGACAGACAGACAGACAGACAGACAGACAGACAGACAGACAGACAGACAGACAGACAGACAGACAGACAGACAGACAGACAGACAGACAGACAGACAGACAGACAGACAGACAGACAGACAGACAGACAGACAGACAGACAGACAGACAGACAGACAGACAGACAGACAGACAGACAGACAGACAGACAGACAGACAGACAGACAGACAGACAGACAGACAGACAGACAGACAGACAGACAGACAGACAGACAGACAGACAGACAGACAGACAGACAGACAGACAGACAGACAGACAGACAGACAGACAGACAGACAGACAGACAGACAGACAGACAGACAGACAGACAGACAGACAGACAGACAGACAGACAGACAGACAGACAGACAGACAGACAGACAGACAGACAGACAGACAGACAGACAGACAGACAGACAGACAGACAGACAGACAGACAGACAGACAGACAGACAGACAGACAGACAGACAGACAGACAGACAGACAGACAGACAGACAGACAGACAGACAGACAGACAGACAGACAGACAGACAGACAGACAGACAGACAGACAGACAGACAGACAGACAGACAGACAGACAGACAGACAGACAGACAGACAGACAGACAGACAGACAGACAGACAGACAGACAGACAGACAGACAGACAGACAGACAGACAGACAGACAGACAGACAGACAGACAGACAGACAGACAGACAGACAGACAGACAGACAGACAGACAGACAGACAGACAGACAGACAGACAGACAGACAGACAGACAGACAGACAGACAGACAGACAGACAGACACAGACAGACAGACAGACAGACAGACAGACAGACAGACAGACAGACAGACAGACAGACAGACACAGACACAGACACAGACACAGACACAGACGCAGACACAGACACAGACACAGACACAGACACAGACACAGACACAGACACAGACACAGACACAGACACAGACACAGACACAGACACAGACACAGACAGACAGTCAGACAAACAGACGGGCAGGCAGGCAGGCAAGCAGACAGACAGACAGGCAGGCAGGCAGGCAGGCAGGCAGACAGACGGACACAAACACAGACACAGACACAGACACAGACACAGACACCTGTGTCCGAAATCCTGAGCCAAAACCCTGCTCTGAAGCAACCTCAAGCACCTCAAGCAACTGCAAGCAACTGAGCCAACCAACCAACCAACCAACCAATCAACCAACCAACCAGCCAGCCAGCCAGCCAGCCAACCAACCAACCAACCAGGCCGGCCAGGGTGAAGGCTGGTGCCCGGGCTAGGCAAAGCAAATAGACTTCCCTCGACAGCGAACTGGCTCCCAGTCTCCCTGGGTTTGCACCAACTTGTTGCTTCCACAAGCCACCAATTGACTCATGCTCCCGAAACTTCCCTCCAGATTGGACTGCAGCTCAACTTTCATTGGACCACAAAGCATGTAAAGCGCTTAAAAGCGGCTGTTTATGGCTGGTACCATGCTGGAACTGTCACTTACTGCGCCTCATCCACCCGTGCTTGATAATGGCTCAAACGCCGACCCAAAAAACAACTTCACGACAAAGGACGGCCTACGCTCGGTGATCGATGTGCGATACCCACCAAACCAAACACAATAACACCCAACCAACCAAACAACCGACCAACAGACTGACCATCTGGTGCCAGGGCCGGTGCTGAGGCCAAGCCAAAGCTAAGCCAAACTGTGACAAACAAGACAAGAAACAACTTCCAGGACCCCCTCCTTGGTTTCGAGGACCATTTGACAGCCATTGCATTGGGGGGAGCCCAGTTTCTTTCAAATAGCAAGAAACGTGGCAATGCCTGTCTTCTTTCAGAAAGAATACGGGAAAGCGGCTCTTCCTGGCAACCCCACAGCCCCAGACCAAGCGCCAAGAGCCCGCGCTGCCGCTCCACGCCCTTCTCGCGGCGCACCACTTGGCTGCCCTGAAGAGCGCGCAGCAACCGAAAGGGAAAACCACCCAACATGGGCGTGCCTTTTTTAGGGGGGGTTTCCTCCACCCCCACCCCCCACCCACCCAAAAAAGGAAAGAACAGGGAATGTGGCTTTCCTCTTGGCTTCTCTTGAAAACAAAAATGGCTTAAACCAACCAAAAAACTACACCTGCAAGAGACCCCAAACAGCGGTCAAAAAGTGAGACAGGACCCCATGTAAGTATCATCAAAAAGTCGCCGCAGCCGAGGCACGCAGGGTCTCTATTTAAGGTCTCGCGCACGCTCTTCAAACACCTAAAGAAGACAATTATTCTGTCCGATCTTGAGATAGGATCTATTTATACGATCTCTTGGCAAGATT